GGAACTACGATCGGTGCCGAGGGGTGGGGGGATCCCCCGAATGTCTCTAGTTTGTCGACTGGTACGTCAGTATGATGACAAAAACTGTGTTCTGTAGAGTGGTGAGACTGCAGCATCGGCAGAATGCTTGTAGACAGAAGAACGCCGAACACGCCCCTCTCTGTGCCAGTGACAGCAGTGGAGGTGCCACCAATGGGGAAACTTGAAGGGGGGCCAAACACTGCCACCACCGCCACCAACAGCCCTGACGAACCTGCTTGATGACGGACTTGAGGTCGATGTTGGACACAACGTCCCCCGAAACCAGCACGAAGGGGTCGGATCTCACGACGCCACGCTGGTCGATGTCGCGCAGGGCGTCTCCGGCGCTCAGGCAGTTGTTGGAGGTGATGATTCGCACCTATTCACAAACAAAAGCATGTGTAGGTATACAAATAGGAGCACCAAACTACAACGAGATAGCACGCATGAGAAACTCGAGCATGCTAGGGAACCCGAAGCAACAATACACTGGAGCTGGGGATTCGCAGGAAAATATGTATGATAGTGGCGGCAATGTACCCGTATGATGGCCGGAACACAGGTGACGAAGTATGTAACATAACACAAGCTACATCCAAGCAGGCGCTTCACAAAACCAGGCGTTTGACCACGAGGGGAAGTATTCCAAGAGAGACAACTACGCCATTACAAGGTATTCGGCGCCCTGTGTACGGTACAACCCTTTGAGGACTTTGCGAGAGACATTTGTAAAGCCAAAAAACAAAGAAGAACAAGACATATCCACATCACGCACGTCCCAAATCAAAGCGCCGCACACGCACGGATGTCGGCGCAATGTTTTCCGAGAATCGTTTCAAAGGTTCCCACGGCTTGCAGCCTCTTAAAGTTCGGACGGCCAATCTAACTTCGTTGTCGGAATATCGACTCGCGCCAACATTTCAAGCAATGCGGGCACGGGGCGGTAAAGAAGACGGGCACACATATCGTCAATTGGGAAAGCGTCAAACCTCTCAAAGCATGTACACCGTGGGTAACACTGTACCCTCGAAGCTGCTATTTAACTAACCTCCATGTGAGCCGCCCAGGTGGACGACTGCAGGTACTCCTCTAGCTGCTTGGCGTGGCTCACGCAAAACACGAAAACTTCCCTCACGTCGTTCCGTGCCAGGAACTCCATCGTGTAGTCGATCATCGGCACGTTCACCAGCGGACACAGCACCTGCACCAGGTATTGTATCGTTCGACGATACACATGATCGAATCGACTGTTTGGTTCTGTTCTTTCGTGTGCGCATCGGTGTTAGGGTTAGGGTTGGGCTAGTGCTAGTGCCGCGTAAACAGAGGAGGGGGGGAGGGGGAGAGGGCGTTGTGTCGGAGGGGTTCACGTGACGTGTAGTAAAGCATGAAGCTGATGGCGCGAAAAGTTATCGGTTCCAGCCGCGTGCAAGCGCGGAGAGGTGCGCGGTGAGGTCTGTCTGCTTCTTGGGACATCTTTCACGGAACCCCCCCCGAAGACTGAACGGTGTACAGTACCCTGCCTCCCGTGCCGCGTCGTTTTGCGCAAATCTGTGCTTCGTTTGTTCCTGCAACTATTAGTCTCACGCACGCGCTCTCTGCAGTGCTGCTGCTGCCTGCCGATTCGGTTGCTATCCCGTCAATCTTAAAAGGTCATGCCGATCTCTACCCAGTTCCTCCTCTTTCCTGCACTCGATCCCGTGCACACCAAAAAGTTGCTTCGGAATCATAGTCTGGGACGAACAAACTTTTTTTTACGTGCGCTCTTTTCACTTCGAAGTTCGACCTAGGTAGAATATGGGATACCTGACTATCAGACTTCCAACAAATCAGCGCCAAAAAAATTACATCTGAGTAGCTGCGATAGAAGCGCCAGCGCCTCACGACGACCACTTGATATCGAGAAAAAGTAATTCAATCCACCGGCAGCTGTCCGTGGGGAATGTCTACTCATCTGGATCGATGTAGGTAGGGGAATATACTCCTGATATTTTGTTCGAGGAGATGCCGACGGGGCTCGCTGCGGCGTGTCACCCCACTTAACAGAGGAACGATGGTAAAGACGGCAACGACTGCAATACTGCTATCGTTGTCGCGCCCTCGCCACGATGGGACACAGCACGGGGGAGAGTCTTGACACTCGCACACCACACACAACCGGCCTCCACAGTCGACCCGTGAGCACAACCGTAAATCCTCCTCGAATGCTGACCAACGGAAGCGCGACAAGCAGCAGCAGCAGCAGCTGCTGCTGCCATGAGTCAGCGCCGCAACCAAGGATGGATGTGACGACATAACCCGCAGCATTTGCAGCGGTTGTTTGTGGTATTGCCCCCCTCCCGCCGAGATATGTGCTATTCATAGAGGGTGCTCCCGACCCTCGCAGCTAGGGGATCTCACTGGCCGCAGCCCGGTCTTCACCACACAGCTGCAAACCAGCACAACCTCAACCACAGCCTATTCGTTGTTTTGCCCGCACACTTCCACTCCAACTCTGGGTCTGGTTTTCGGATAAGAGGTTGTCAGACCCAGACCCGCCGCACGTTTGCCCAATAGAGTTCTGTGGATCTTGCTGTTCCAACTCGGAGTTGGGGTGTGGAATCGGCGCGTGCACAATTCCGGTTAAAACCGGGCCTAAACACGGTCTAGCCGAAAAAACAGGTGCCTGGTACCAGGTTCACCGGTTGCTCGCCGTATACGTACATTGCGTGTGTAAAGGAGCGAACATCTCGGGCTTCCTGAATGTTGGTAGGCGGCTCGATTTCATGATATCAGGCAGGACCAATACCATGTTCATGGATGCGTTTGCAGATTTCTCTTCGTGTCGCAGTGTTGGCGAACAGCGGAAGGACCACACCCACATATGTCCACCCCCACCATCAAGTTTCTACCACAGCAGTTAATCTGGGATGAGCATCTACACTGCCGTAGATACGGTACAGGCAGGTAGTACTTGTAAGCAGGTCGGGTTTGCGTTGGTTGAGTAGACTAAATTACAAAATACGGCACAGCTCAAAGGCTGTCGCAAAACCAAACGCGCGAAGTAACAGCAGTGGCATCCAGGGCGAGCACGCGAAAAAAACAATGGTCCGCGGCAAAAGACCACACTGCTGTAGCTGTGAATGCCGGTGCTTGTTAGTTCGGCCGTGGGTCACCCCTGCACGTTTGGCGTATCAACCTCTGGCTAGTGTTGCACACACAGGCAATGATCAAGAGAGAGATGTGAGCGGCGAGAAACACACCCTGCGTTGGCCGTGTACCACACCGTTAGGGGTTTTCCGATTCAAGAGTAATGGTCTACTCTCGCGGGGACATCCTTTACTCCTCTGGTGAACACCATTCCCCCCCCTTTGCACTTCACCGCGGGAGACAGCGATGCAAGGACCAGGTCGCTCACCTTTGGCATGTCGCTGCTGATAGGCCGGAAGTTGGTGTTGAACGAGTCGGCCAGGAGAATGGCCTGCAGTTTCTGCTCCTGCTCTTCCACCGCCGCACCCCCGCCTTTCCGTTCGCCCGTACCCTTAGGCATAGTGCTCTACCTCTCCTGTGCCCTTCCCCACGCTCTCTCTCTCTCTCTCTCTCTCTCTCTCTCTCTCTCTCTCTCTGTCTCTCTCTGTCTCTCTCTCCTCTCTCTCGTAGCCGCTCCTGCTTTGAAC